TGTTAATGCCTCACCAGGGTGTCTACTGTGAAGAAAATGCTTTTAAAAACCATTTTCACAGCAACGTCTCATGAGACAAATGCTTTACATGAAATATGATAATGATCAGATGCATTATTATAATAGTTACAATGGAAACTAAAGGCAATAACAGTGACCTTGCTTATTTCTGCAGAACTCTAATGCTGATTCTCAAAACTTCTATATGCCATTTGATCTTTATGCTAATGGAGATGCAGCAGTAGGAAATCCAGCATTGGGATGAAATACTGCTTTTTAATGGAAGTGGAGATTAAAGTTGGAGAAACAGAAACACAATAAATGACCTGGAAAAAAAAAGTGTGAGTAAGAGTGTATGAGTGTTTTCCAGTATTGGGTTGTGGCTGGAGGGGAATGCGCTGCGAAAAACATATGCTGAAATAGTTGACGGTTAATTCCGCTGTGGTGACCTCTGATAAATCAAAGACTAAGCTGAAGGAAAATGAATGAATGAATAAATGCTGATGTACAAAAACAAATGTGTTAAACTGATGACATCACTCACTTATACCAGCCAATGAGAGTAGCAGTATTTGCATAAACATGAGGTGCTGGTTTCTCTTTCACACTCAGACTTTGCAGGTTCATTCAAAGATGGCTTAATAAAAAAAGTACAGAGAGATGCTAATAAACCATACAGGTCATATCTCATTAGCACAAGAAAATGTGCACCGCCCTTGACAGCATGAGACATGAGAGAGAAATAACAATGTGTGGCATTTATAGCCATACTGAAAACACCAGCAGATAGTTTACCTCAGTTTTTCACAAGAAAATACTAGCAATGGCAGTTTAGCCTAAAGTACAACTTTACTTTGATTTTATAGTACAAAAATACATACTTTTATTATTATTACATATCATTATTATATTTATTATTATTATTATTATTATTATTATTATTATTATTTATTATAGCATATGTTAATATACAAGTCACACTTCACTCTTAAAAAATGCAGGTTTCCACATTATTCATTTATGTCGTTCCTACACAAATCAAATTAAGTGGATTAAACATAAAACAAGCTGTCCCAAAAAATCCCAAGATTAGTTTTGTTTTAGCTCATTTTAAATAAAATGTTTGAACAAGCAGCAAAATGAGTAGTTTGAGTGTATAATTTGAGGAAAGATTATGATCTTATGTGTAACTAATTACAGAGATTTTTTTAAACTGGTCCAAAGCAAAACTATGCTTTGCTGTAAGGATTAAAAAAAATATATATATATATATTTGATTTTATTTATTTAATTTTTTTCTTTGTTAGTTTTATTTAAATTCATTTAAATTTAATATTGTATTTATTTATTTATTTATTTTATGTATTTTAATATATGAAATATTGAACATATGAAACGTCAGTGTGTATTCTTCATAATTCACTGGAATTTTATTTTATTTGATAAAAAAGTCAAATAATTTAACAATGTTAATTTAGAAGCATATACTGTTTATATATTGATGTATTGTTGTAGTGTATTAATATTATTTAATAATGTAATGTTATACTGTTTTTTTGCAGGATTTATTTTATTTTAAATAATTCATCTGTTCGTGGCACGGTGGCTCAATGGTTTATCATTGTCGCCTCACAACAAGAAGATCGCTGGTTTGACTCTCAGCTGGACCAGTTGACATTTCTGTGTAGAGTTTGCATGTTCTCCCTGTGTTGGCATGGATTTCCTCCGGGTGCTCCAGTTTCCCCCACAGTCCAAGCATATGCGCTATAGGTGAATTGAATAGACTAAATTGGCAGTAGTGTACGATGTCAATGAGTGTGTATGGGTGTTTCCCACTACTGGGTTGCAGCTGGAATGGCATTTGATGTATAAAACATATGTTGGATAATCTATCTATCTATCTATCTATCTATCTATCTATCTATCTATCTATCTATCTATCTATCTATCTATCTATCTATCTATCTATCTATCTATCTATCTATCTATCTATCTATCTATCTATCTATCTATCTATCTATCTATAGCATCTGTATGTGTGTGTATACATTAAATTATATTATATTTTCAAAGATTATGAATTTGACTAATTTCAAAATTATCTTTTTTTCAAGCCCCCTTAACTGAAATTTGATATGTGCGCTGAATTTATTTGTAACATTATACAAGTCTTACCTATATATATAATGTAATGACCTACAGTCGTTTTCAGGAAATTATATATATATATATATATATATATATATATATATATATATATATATATATATATATATATATATATATATATATATATATATATATATATATATATATATATATATATATATATATATATAT